AAGACATTGCTTAATAAATGTGGTGATTAAACCATTTAGGTTTATCACTGGTTTAGTAGCCAAGAGAAAAATGTACATAGGAATAATAGAAATTAGAATTAATTTTATATATACTGATAGTGTATATATATCACGGTTAAATACATAATACATATACAAAATTTGGGATTGGAATTTAAATTTAAATTATGTATAATACATCTAGTGATGAAAATGCATACATTGTCAGTATGCAGAATATTAATCCATAGAGACAAAGAAGAAAGTTTTTCATGCAAGAGGTGTACATAAATAAGTGGGCCCTAGTAGCAAATAGTAGTTAAAAAAATAAGAATTAATTTTTTCTACACTGACAGTGTATCCATTGTTGACGTTGGATGAATGACAAATATGCAAATTTTGAATTTAAAATTTAATTTTTGCACATATGTCATGGATCTAATGATAATACTGTATAGACTATAGTGTATATAAAATTTACTCAAAAAAAGTTTAGTTTGACATTAAAAATGTGCTACTATATTCTCCAAATATGAACTTCCGTATTGTTAGATAGCAATAGGGGCCAAATAGCATCTTAAGAAACTTTGCATTCCTTTTTTAAGCCTTTGTGCATTACGTACTAGTAACATTGACCAATTATGGCAGTGCAAAGAGTTTTACTCAATGTTTTAAAATCCGGACTGTTAATTGAACCAGTGAAATGAAAGAGTCGAGATTCAATCGGTCGAACCGGTTCAACCCCGGTTCAATGAATTTTTAAAAAATAATTTATATAAAATATAAATGCACAAAATAAGACATGCAATAAACTAATTTAAAACTTTATATGATGAAAAATTTACTATTTTTGAATAACTTGGATTTTCAAAAATAAACTTTTTGAATTATAAGTTAAAACAAATAAATTTCATTTCAATTTCAATTATATCTACCAAAATAATCTTAAATCCAACCCAAAAATATCACAATATTTTGAAATTATACAAAATTCAAGTCTATGAGAATTTGACATTGTGAACTTAAATTTTAATTTACGTCTTTGGGATTTAGAGATTGTAATTTAAAAAAGAAAATTTGGAGTTTGAAAAAAGTCAAGAGAATCGAAAATAGAAATGCAAACTTGATAAAAAATAAAAAAATGAGATAAAAGTGAGTGGTTGTAGCATTAAATAATTTGGATTAAGGAAAAATAATTCTTTTTTAACTTTTTTCAATTTAATGGACAAAAACAAAATTAAAAAGATGGAAGAAAACATCAATAAATTAAAACTAAAGAGGTTTGATTAAAAAGGGAGTGACAAAAAAAGAGGGGAGAGAGTATGCGTGTGTGTGTTGAAGATTAAAAAGAAAGAGTCATGAAAGAATGAGATTTTGTAAGAAAAATGAAAAAAAGAAATATGGATGTTTATATATATATATATATAGTCTTGTATTAGAAAGGTCATTTTGCAAAACTTAAAACAAAAGGGGAAACATGAAAATCGGTTCAATCCGGTTCGATTTGGTTCAGCGGTTTTGATCGGGTTTGACTGATTTTTTGACAAAATCAACACCAACATAGAACCGGACCCCTGCCATGGCCGGTTTGTGGTTCAACTGGTCGAACTGGACGGTCCGGTCCGATTTTCAAAACACTGGTTTTACTATGGCTCACTTCCGAGGAGAATTTGATGATCCGTGGAGAAAACTTGCTACTCGATCTACTAGAGTAGGTAAATGGTTGGCAGTTTCTTGGTGAGTGTTTGTAATGGCCAAGGAGCTGGAGGAGGTTTGCTTAGAGATCATGGAGGGAAGATAATTTTTGCGTTCTACAAGGAGTTCGGTGAAATTGATGCACTTACAGCTAAGAGCCTAGTGTTGTTGCATGGTCTTCAATTGTGTTCGTTGAAATATAGTGGAAGATTGCTTGTAGAAGTGGATTCGGAGAGTCTTGTCTCGTTGGTTAATTTAGGGAGAATACCGAAATGGCCTTTGTGCAATTTTTTGCGAAGGATCCGTGCATTGCTTAAGGACTTGTAAGTTTCAGTAGTTCACATTTTTAGGGAAGCAAATGGTTCGGCAGATAAGTTGGCTGGGTCACGGTTAAGGATAGAGTTGTACACCACATCTTTTACAAATCTTCTTGGGGAAACTAGATCTGCAATTTTGTTAGACTGTAGGGAATTCTCAAATGTGCATATTCAAGTTGTAAAGGAGTAGTACTCCTACTTTGCGTTTTCCTCTAATTTTGTGTATGTTTTACTAGTTGTCATGAATAAAATTTTTCCCATCCTGTGGACGGGGTTTGCCACTAAAAAAAAAAAAAGAAGAAATCATAAACTGGTGAAACACTTAGGAACAATTGGAAGAAGCATTTTATTTTATTTTTCAAGTTTTCAATTTAATGGAGTACCATCGAGATTGAGATGCATTTATTTCTTATAGATAAACATGAACCTTTCGTTATCCTAAACTAATATTCTAGGACCTAGGGATAGGACATTGCTTTTATTAACAAATCCTCTACATATTTTAATAGGCTCATCTTTTCATAAAATCTATTATCATGGGATAGAATGAATAAACTTTTACAAAGTCCATAAGCAAAATTTCAACATAGTTCCTCATTCTCTGTTTTATTTAATGATTTTATCATTCTACATGTTAATGGCTTGATATTGACTTGCAAGAAATGAAAACGTGGAACATATGGTGAAGTGAAATGGGCAAAAAGTTGTTGGCATTCATAAGTAACTAATGATTTCAAAAATATTCAAAAATTATTTTCATGAATATCATAGTTCTAGTATTAAACGGAATTTGAGATAACAATAAATAGAAATCAAGAACACTAAAAAAATATATAGTGTTGTGCTTGGTGCATACTTAAATGTTTTTGAGAAAAATCACGTGCAAAAAAATTGTAAAATATGTTTTTTCTTGGAAAGTAAAATATTATGGCAAAGGCAAATTACTTGTAAAATGATTTTCTCTCTGGAGCTATTCCAATCTACTAGGCAAACAAATCTCAATCATTGATGAAGGCCATATTTTTAGTCTCTCACTTCTCACCAGTATGACCAAAAACCATATAGTTATGCAATTTAACAATACTTTTGATACACATTACAGAGACCAACCAGAATTTACGAGATTTAATGATCATTTTTCTCCTTTTGAGGGAAGAAACCATAAAAAAAAGGCCATAAGAAATTACTGACCTCATGAAAATATTGACAAATAATTTCCTTTTTTTTTTTTGGGCAAAGCCAACATCTTAATTGATTAACAGTAAAAAATTTGTATTGCACTCTTACGTGTAACTTGTTAATCTCTGCCTCCAATCAACCAACGTGAAAAGACATTCAGTAGATTAAAATTATTCATTCCAATAATAGTTTGAAAGATTTCAATTGTTGCAATATTGCCAGTAAAAAATAGTTTCAAAGGAGCTCAAATTTTTTTTTTTTTTAAAAAAAAGAGCTCAAATATTATAGGAAACCGTAGAAAATCTGAAAATGTGCAAAATGCAATGGATTTTCCTGCCCTGTAACTTTTTTTCCTTTTCTGGTTTTTTAAAGGTTCTAGTGCCGCATAAAATAGGTTAAATTGGGGAAAATATAAAGTCACATATTTAGGTTACATCAAAAGTTTGGTAACGACTTTATATATATAGTATAGATACTGTTGGAAAAGAATCAAAGAGATTTTATTAATTCTATATCTTTCCTACAATTCATTCTAATCTATATATACAATTTTCTGGTACACTAAACAAGGAAAGTCTACATCTAATTCCCTTAATTTTGGAGACAGCTTATTCACCCCGATTTCCTCCACAAATTTATCTCTTAAGATTACTCATTCAAGATTCCTACACTCCCTCTCAAGCTAGTGAATATAGATCTTCCATTCCCAGCTTGACAACACTTTCATGAAACATGTTGCTACACAGTCCCTTTGTCATCACATCTGCAAGTTGAAATCCTGTCGGAACATACGGAGTACAAATCAGTCCACTTTCTAGCTTCTCTTTAATAAAGTGCCTGTCTATCTCTATGTGCTTCGTCCGATCATGTTGCATTGGGTTGTGAGCTATACTTATAGCAGATTTGTTATCACAGTATAGTTTCATCGGTTTGCTCCATTGAATCCTCAAGTCTTCTAGGATAATTTTAACCCACAATAATTCACATACCCCTGCTGCCATAGCCCTAAATTCTGCTTTAGCGCTTGACCTTGCTACCACACTTTGTTTCTTGCTTCTCCAGGATATTAAGTTTCCTCCAAGAAATGTACAATATCCCGAAGTTGATCGCCTGTCGACTGCAGACCCTGCAAAATCTGCGTCTATGTAAACTGCCAGATCAATTTCAGGACCCTTTTTGAATAAAATTCCCTTCCCTAGATGTGCCTTTAAGTAATGAAGCACTCGATAAACTGCTTGTAGATGAACTGCTCTAGGATCATGCATAAATTGACTAATAACACTGACTGAGTAAGATATATCTGGCCTAGTATGTGTGAGATAAATGAGTTTCCCAACAAGTCTTTGGTACATCTCTCTGTCCACTGCTGTTTCTTCATGAGCCTCACTTAATTTGTGATTCTGCTCAATGGGAGTTCGAACTGGTTTGCTCGCTATCATGCCTGTTTCCTTGAGCAGGTCCATAACATACTTCTGTTGAGAAATAAAAATTCCCTGCCTTGATCGAGCCACTTCAATTCCCAGAAAATACTTCAATTTTCCTAAACCCTTTATTTCAAATTCCTTGGCTAGGCACCACTTCAAAGTTTTCTTCTCTACTTCATCGTTTCCTGTCACTATAATGTCATCTACGTAAACAATCAAAACAGTAACTCCCCCGAAGGCTGAATGCTTGATGAACAGGGTATGATCTCCTTGACTTTGCTTGTAGCCATTAGTTATCATTACCTTGGCAAATCATCCAAACCAAGCACGTGGGGATTGTTTCAACCCATATAATGCCTTTTTTAACCGACAAACCTTGTTCTTGTCAACCCCACTGAATCCCGGTGGAATGCTCATATAAATCTCCTCTTCTAACTCTCCATGAAAAAAAAGCATTCTTCACATCGTACTGTTGTAATTCCCAATCAAAATTAATAGCCAAGGATAGCAGAATTCTTACTGTATTCATCTTTGCTACTGGAGCAAACGTTTCCCGATAATCTACTCCATATGTCTGTGTGTATCCTTTCGCGACTAACCTTGCCTTGTAGCGTTCTAGGGGCCCATCTGCTTTAAACTTTACTGCATACACCCACTTACAGTCCACTACTTTCTTGTTCTTTGGTAAATCAACTAATTCCCAGGTCCCATTCTTCTCTAATGCATCCATTTCTACTTCCATAGCAAGTTTCCATTCTTTCTTTGATAGTGCTTCAGACAATGAGTTAGGAATAGAGACTGTGTTTAAGGTGGAAAGGAAGCTTTGATGGCTTGGGGAAAACTTCTCAAAAGACACAAAGTGAGACAATGGGTATAGGGGTCTTTTGGTGCATTCTTGGGGTTTTTTCCTTACAGCAATAGGTAGATGTAGGTCCTGGTCAAGGCTAAGAGGTTCAGGACAAGGTGATTTAGAGCTGGAAGAATGGTCAGTCGGTGGTGTAGAATTCAGATTTGATTCACTCATTATTACCTCATTCCTGGAGCTTGGTTTAGAGGATTGTTCTTGCCTTGTAACCACGATGGGATCTCCTTTCCTTGTATACACTTGGTCAAACCGGAACCAGTCATAGATTTTACGATCTTCCTTTTTTTCTTCTACCACATCAGATTGAAGAATTGACTCTTGGAATTCAGATTTGGATGACTCAGATGTGGACAACTCTAAGGAGGAAAATTTTAACTCCTTATCTTTAAGTGTATCTAACTCCCCCTGAAGATAAGGAGTGATGAAATATGGCTTATTTTCAACAATGTAACATCTGCCGAGACATAGAGTTTTTTAGTAGGTGGATGATAACATTTGTAACCCTTTTGAGTAGATGAGTACCCTACGAAGACACACTTAAGAGCACGAGGTTCTAACTTCCCACGGTTATGATTATGGACATGAACAAAGGAAGTACATCCAAAAACTCGAGGAGTGAGATTAAAGGAAGATCGAATATCGGGGTAGAATTTGGATAGGTTCTCTAGTGGACTTTAATTCTATTTATGACATAAGTTGATGTGAGTACAGCTTCTCCCCACTATGCTTTTGGCACACTTTGTTCAAACAGTAAGGCTCTAGTACACTCAAGAAGATGTCGGTTTTTCCGTTCTGCCACTCCATTTTGTTGTGGAGTGGTAATACAGGATGATTCATGTATGATTCCTTCTTTTTGAAAAAATGGACTCAAGATTTGATTGAAATAATCACGAGTATTATCTGAACGAAAGTGTTTTATCTTGGTGCCAAATTGATTTTGAATCATTGCATGAAAAACAGGGAAAATATGAATCAAATCAGACTCATTTTTTAGTAAATAGATCCAAGAGACTCTTGCGCAATCATCGATAAATGTGACAAACCACTTAGACCCTGAGATGTTTGGAATAGTTGATGGCCCCCAAATATCACTATGGATTAAAAAGAAAGGAGAAGACGATCGTTTATTACTGAAAGGAAATGGTACACGAGTGTGTTTAGCATACTCACAAATATCACAATGAAAAGACTGAACATCAAATCCCTTGAACAAGGAGGGAAACATTATTTTTAGTGCAGAAAAAGACACATGACCTAGACGTCTATGATGTAACCAGATGACATCCTTATTGGAGGGTGAAAATAATGTGGACAGGGCAGATTTACTAAATTCTGGTTGACTGGATGTATCCAAGTAATAGAGTCCATCATGCTCCTTAGCAAGTCCAATCCTCTTCCCCGATCCCCGGTCCTAGAAGTCACAACAGGATTCATCAAATATAATAGAGCCAGCTAGATCTTTGGCAAGTTTTTTTACAGAAACCAAATTTGTAGATAACTGAGGAACATGAAGAACATTTTTAAGAATCAAATTTGGAGTAACTTGGACATCTCCAATACCTGTCACAGTGGTTGTAGTACCATCTGCGACAACAATCTTTCTATTGCTAGGATAGGGGTTATAGGTTTTGAATTTATTTGAAATATGACTCATATGGTCCGTAGCACCAGAGTCAAGAATCCAGACATTCCTAAGCTCATTGCCAAAAACACTAAACGCAAAAGAGACTAGAGCCTTACTTGAAAGTGTCAATGAACACATACCCGGATTCCTTGATTGAGAATTGTTAGTTGTTGGTTTATCAACTGTCTCTAACATACTTTTAAGCTTCTCAATTTCCTCCATACTAAACCCTCCAATCACTTGAGTTGGATCTTGAACCGACGTATGAGCCTGCCTTTGCTGGCCACCTTTCTGTCCCCATTCACGAGTGGGTGGTTTCCCATGTAGTTTTCAGCATTGATCTATGGTGTGTCGTGGTTTTTTGCAGTATGTGCACCACAACTCCTAACGATTCTTTTGCCCACTTGTTTGATTGGTCTTGTCCGCAGCAACCTTGTTCAGTACCAACTGCTGAGATTTGGAATTTAAAAGGGCTGAATTTTCTATTGAAGGTAGGTCTAACATAATACCCCTGCGACTTTCTTCTCCACGTACCTGGGATATTGCTTCTGTTAAAGAGGGAAATTCTGGCCTGCCCAAAATTTGAATTCGTACAAGATCGAATTCAGAGTTTAGGCCAGCCAAAAAATCATAAACTCGATCCCTTTCTATGAACTTCTTGATAAACACTGCACATTTGCTACACTTCAAATCAAGTGTCCTGTAATAATCCAGTTCCTGCCACTGGTTTTGCAGAAAATTGGCATACTCTGTCACTATTTTTGTCCCTTGTTTTGCTCCAGTTGTCCTTGTCTTGATGTCATAAATAAGAGCTGCATCATTAACCTTGGAATATGTCTGATGAAGGGCATCCCAAATTGCCTTTGCTGTAGGAAGAAACATACATGTATCGCTGATTTCAGGAATCATGGAATTCCATAACCAAGACATGATCATTGAATCCTCTTGTTCCCATGCTTCAAACCTCGCCGTTTCACTATCCGATGCTATTTCCAATAGATGACACAACTTTCCTTTTCCTTTCAGGAATATTCGAACCAATTGAGACCACTTCAAATAATTTTTTCCATTTAGTCTATATGCTGCGTGGATGTTTTGAAACTCTGTTGTGTTCCGTGTACTTTGTTCTTCTTCCACAGTTGAAGACAATTGCCGCGTTGAGGATGTAGTATCCGCCATGATTGAATAGAAGAAAAAAAAATGTATAGTAAAAGGAACAACAATGAAGGCTGGAGAGAATAAGAAAGGAACCAGCAATTAAGGCTGGAATTGACAAGAAGCAAAGGTGGTATTTTTCACAGAACCTTAGACGGGCTCTGATACCATGTTAGAAAAGAATCAAAGAGATTTTATTAATTCTATATCTTTCCTACAATTCATTCTAATCTATGTATACAATTTTCTGGTACACTAAATAAGGAAAGTCTACATCTAATTCCCTTAATTTTGGAGATAGCTTATTCACCCTGATTTCCTCCACTAATTTACCTAAAATATCTCCTAAGATTACTCATTCAAGATTCCTACAGATACAAATATAGATAATATTCAATCTTGACTCTTTATTTTGAGAAATTTCATAGTAAAAAATATTTGTCTAAAGGGGGTAAAGGTAAATTGCTAAACCATAAGGTAGTGACAGTCCTAACACAATAGGGTTTTTCCTTCCTTCCTTTCTTTCCTAAGTTTCTGGCAACATTTCTAGATGCTTTTAATTATTAAGGCTTGCAAATGAGATTTGTAAAACACCCTTAGTCTGGATGTGTTGTTTCTTTGTCACTTTAATTTATAGAGGTTAAGGGCAGATCTTAAAATTATTTGGGGTTTATAGGTCTAAAAAAAATCTTCGATGAGGTTATTTTCCCTCCCAAAAAGAGGAAGGCTAGAAGTATGCGTCCACGAGCATCAAAAGCAGTTTGGTATGTTTTGTGGCCAGCACAAATCCGTCTAAAAAAGGCGGCCGACAGTTATTTCAGTGACCCATACAGCTCCTTTATGGCAGTGCTAATGCTTCCGGATAAGGATTCAGTGTAATTGTGTTTTATGTGATTTTTTCTAGTCATTATAGTTGTTTAAATTTTTAGTGTACAAATATATCATAATATTATATTTAACATATGTCAAATTTTTTATTCATGTATAGTACTTTTATCCTGAATATAATATAACGTAAGGGAAAAATGTATTTTTCATCCCCAATGTTTGGGGTGTTGTACAATTTCAACCCTAAAATTTTAGTCAAAATGTATTTCATCCTCGTATTTTTATAATTTTGACCAATTTCATCTCTAAAGTTACATGCAGACGCATTTCATCCTCACAGTTTCATAAATTTGATCAATTAAGGACAATTGAATGATTGTTAACCAATTTGGACGGAATATCATCACATGACTAGCATTCCCTGTTAATAATTGTATTATTAATACTTAATTCAGTCATTGATTAAATTATATAAAACATAATGAGTGTGTTCGGATAAGAAACTATATTTTTTTTATTTATGATATGATATATGTGAGATAAAAAAATAGATTAGATGATAGATAGACAACTTGAAAAACATGTATATGATGCAACAAAACAAAGTTTTGCAAATAAATGACAATCTAACCAATTATTTCTTTCAGTTTAATATTTTTCTCCAATTGGTTGCAATGGAATTGTTTGAAAAATTTATCCAATTGGCTATAATTGGGTTATTTCTTCTCCACAACTTCGTTTCCTTTCGATCTTTTTGTTCAGTTTGTGATTAAGAAGAGAGTAATGGTAGCTAAAATTTTTTTATTTTTTAAACAAGAAAGTGAATTAAAAAACAATTTTTGAGGATTTTGTTGATCCAATGTTTTGTGTATTTTACTAACTAGCATGCCTTGGTCAAGTGATAACATTCCATTCAAATTGCTTGACAATTTATCAATTGTCCTTAATTAGTCAAATTTAAGAACTTAAGGATGAAATGTGTTTGCATCAAACTTTAAGGATAAAATTGGTCAAAATTATAAAATTATGACAATGAAATGTGTTTTATCTAAAACTTTAGGGATGAAATTATCCAACACCCCAAACAATGGGGATGAAAAGTGCATTTTTCAAATAATGTAAAAAGTATAATAATTGAATGGAATCGTATCAGACTCCAACCGCGCGGATCCCTCACACCTACTAGTACTGACTTCCTGCAATTGCAAGATTGTACAATATACGTGGCCTCAATGAATTTGCTTGCAAATTGGATAAATAGAAATGATTGTCAGACAATCATGGGAGTCGGCCAATCATCAGAGGAGGGTTCTTTGAGAACTCAAAGCATGCACAATGTCTCATATCAGTTTTTATTAATCTCTTAAAAAAACAAATGTCTTCTGGCTCTTACTATTTCAATTAGAGCTTTTAAAGAACTGAACTATTTACGAATATGTTCGTCTGCCACTCGTTCGAGTTAAAAAAAAAAAGCTTTGTCATTAATAAACGAATTGAGTTCAAACACAATATTAGACTTATTTAATAACTGAGCTAAACATGAATCTATTCACGAATTATTCAAATTGTTTGTGAATACATATATAATTATAAAATAAAAATAAAAATAATTAATATTATTAAATATATGTTATATTTTACTAAAAAAGTAATTATACATAAATTAGCATTATTTTTTTTAAAATCAATAAATACGATTGGACATATTCTAACTAATGTATTATTTATTAAAAATATAATTAAATCATCTTCAAAATCAAATTCGAACTTAAGTTTGAGTTCGAATTTGACTCGTATAGTTTAACGAGACAAGTTTGAGATTGAACTCAAATATTTATACAAATAAATGAATCGAATTCAAACAACATTTGTAATTCGCTAATATTCGTGTCAAATCAAATCCTGTTCATAAATTATAGAAACAGAACTTGAACACCAAATATTCAACTCTATTCGACTCGTTAAAACCTCTAATTTCAATCTATAGCAATCTCTAGTATTATTAATGGGCAAATTACATTTTAGCCCCCTGTGGTTTTCGAAAAAACCACATAACCCCCCATCGTTCAAAAAGCTATACATAAACCCCCTGTGGTTTGGGTTGAACTGGCAAATAGACGGAAAGCATCCACCGTAACGATTCGTGGGCAAAACGCGCCTGTTCTTCTGGTAGCAGTAGGAAACATACCCATATTACCCCTGACCAATTTGACGTACCCAATAAAGCCTAGATGGGTGCTCCTCATCTCTTTCCATCTTCCGAAATACTTTGTAGCTGACTTTGCACTGAATGTTGGTGAAGGAACCCAAGATAGAGAACGAAGGAAATCTGAAGGTGAGTTCTAACATCAAGGTGCAGTCTTTTCCTTTTCCTGAAATATGACTTGAATGGATTATTAATTTTTTTTCAATAAACTATAGATGTCATGCTCAAGCAGTGCTGGTGGAAGTACTGAAGATCTAAGGTACCAATACCTATTTTGTTCATGTGGGAGAAAAGCAGCGGTAAAAATTGTTGAATCTGACAAACCTTCAAAAGGAAAGCTATATTTTGTTTGTGCGACAAGAAGTTGTGAATTTTTCTCATGGTGCAATCCAACAAGGAGAATAAGACAAAATTACACTAGTGATTTGAATGTTACAAGGAGAGACATATTTAGTGGAGAATCAAGTATTGATAGTTCAGAAGTGGAAGGCTTGCGCATGGATGGTGGTTTATATTTGAGGAAAATGAAAAACATTGAAGAAAGCTTAGGAGCCATGAAGATTTGCGTGGGTGCTTGTTTTGCTATATCTGTGCTATCATTTCTCATTTTGATGTTTAAGTGAAAATAATTCAGATGAATTGTGGCTCTAAAAGTGTTGTAAATCTGAACCTGTTGTGTTCAATGAATGAATGAATGAATCTGCTTTGGTAGTCAATTGATATAATAGGCAAACATGATTTCCAGTTGGTATGAACCTGCTTTGGTACTCACAGGCTGAACTTGGTACTCATCGAGACAGCATAGCCAAAAAGCACATACATGAGCTATCCAAAGTGGACATTTGCAATGGTTTAAAGCAAAAGAAAGTATCTCAATTAATTTAAGGGATAATTTCAGAAACCTCCCCTGAGAGTTGGACGGGTAACTAGTGTATCAGAGAGTTGCCATAATCTCCTTAAACCCGCATGCGGGTTTAAAGAGTTGAACACCAAATATTCGTGTAACTAGTGTAATTCGCTAATATTCGTGTCAAATCAAATCCTGTTCATAAATTATAGAAACAGAACTTGAACACCAAATATTCAACTCTATTCGACTCGTTAAAACCTCTAATTTCAATCTATAGCAATCTCTAGTATTATTAATGGGCAAATTACATTTTAGCCCCCTGTGGTTTTCGAAAAAACCACATAACCCCCCATCGTTCAAAAAGCTATACATAAACCCCCTGTGGTTTGGGTTGAACTGGCAAATAGACGGAAAGCATCCACCGTAACGATTCGTGGGCAAAACGCGCCTGTTCTTCTGGTAGCAGTAGGAAACATACCCATATTACCCCTGACCAATTTGACGTACCCAATAAAGCCTAGATGGGTGCTCCTCATCTCTTTCCATCTTCCGAAATACTTTGTAGCTGACTTTGCACTGAATGTTGGTGAAGGAACCCAAGATAGAGAACGAAGGAAATCTGAAGGTGAGTTCTAACATCAAGGTGCAGTCTTTTCCTTTTCCTGAAATATGACTTGAATGGATTATTAATTTTTTTTCAATAAACTATAGATGTCATGCTCAAGCAGTGCTGGTGGAAGTACTGAAGATCTAAGGTACCAATACCTATTTTGTTCATGTGGGAGAAAAGCAGCGGTAAAAATTGTTGAATCTGACAAACCTTCAAAAGGAAAGCTATATTTTGTTTGTGCGACAAGAAGTTGTGAATTTTTCTCATGGTGCAATCCAACAAGGAGAATAAGACAAAATTACACTAGTGATTTGAATGTTACAAGGAGAGACATATTTAGTGGAGAATCAAGTATTGATAGTTCAGAAGTGGAAGGCTTGCGCATGGATGGTGGTTTATATTTGAGGAAAATGAAAAACATTGAAGAAAGCTTAGGAGCCATGAAGATTTGCGTGGGTGCTTGTTTTGCTATATCTGTGCTATCATTTCTCATTTTGATGTTTAAGTGAAAATAATTCAGATGAATTGTG